AAGTCCTGAGTCTCCGGGAGAGGCAGTGTGAGCTCAGACTAACTCACACATGCCTGTGGGTGCCCCCACCCCCCAGGGGATGGCGGGGTGCCCAGGGCATCTGAGTGCACCATCCTCTCCAACAGCTCCTGGAGCCTGGCCCTGGGGGAGGCATGGACTCTAGAATGTTCTCCACTGGGCTTCCCCACTGGGACCCTTCACTGCCCCCCAAGATGGAGCAGCATGCACGGCGGGGTGCCGGCCAGGTCCCCAGGAGCCCCACCCCGCGACCCGCTCTGCGGCCTCCCCCACCCGCTCCAGGGCCTCTCTGGGGGCGTCCTCTCCCTCCCTCCCTCCCTCCCCGAGGCCCCCCTGCCTCCTGCTTCTCCCCTCTGCTCAGCCCCTCCGCTCCCCCTCAACAGCGGCCCCTTCCTGTCCCGGCTGCTGCGGGTGCCTGTCCCCTGGGGCTCTGGCCCTGCTGGGGTTCTCCCTGGAGCCTGCAGGGGCCTCACGCTGCTCTCTGCCCGCTGTGGCCCTGGGATGAACGGGGGCGTGACCTGGGTCATTGCTGGGGGACGGACACCCTCCTGCGCTGGCTCTGGGCTCCTGCTCCACGTGGGGGCGCTGTTGGGGGCTGGGCCGGCTGTCCTGACTCCTCCCCGCAGTGATCCGGCTTCCTGGGAGCTGGCGGGCTTGGGACAGCGCGGTCAGGGCCCTGTTCCCGTCTCCGAGGGCACGTCCCTGGCGTCGCAGGGGCCTGGGGGCGGCGGGGCTGTTGCACAGAAGGGTCACGCGGGCCCTGACCTCGCCCTCCGGGGCCGCGCGCTCATCGGTGACCTCAGGCTGGACTCGGTCTCCGTGTCCGGCCAGCCCAGCCCGGGCAGCTTGAGCCTCCAGCCTGGAGCCGCGGGGCTAGACGGGAGTCCATCTCCGGTGCGGCTCCCTCCCGCCGGGCGCCTTGTGGACAGCGGATAGCGGACAGCGGACAGCGGACAGCACCGCCTCGTCCTCTTTCCGGCTCGGCCGAGAGGAGCGTGTCTGCAGGGGTGGGGCTGACCGGGGCAGCTGTCTGCCAGCCAGGCTGGGCTGTGCCTGGCGAGTGTGAGGGCAGCCCAGCGGGAGCAGCGTGGGTGGGGGTGGCAGGGGTGGCGGCTGCAGCCTTGGGCACAGAGAGCCTTCCGCCGGCAGGTGGCGGTGCTGGCCCCGGTGCTGGCCCCGCGAGCCGGCCCGCGTCCGCTCAGCTCACTGCCCGGGGCCTGGAGACTCGCCTGGCCGTGCAGGCTGGCAGGGGGCGTTGGGTGGAGAGAGGGGAGACGCGGGGGGCCCAGAGACACCCCGTAAGAGGGCCAGGGTGTCAGTCCGCACATTCTCTTCCCTCTTTTTGGTTGGCATGGCTCAATCTCAGCGTTTCAAGGTTTCCCAGCTCTTTAACATTTTGATTAGCATTTGGATTGCACCTGAGAGCTGGAAAGTGGCCTCAGAGCACCTGAGGCGTGTTGCCGCTTTTGCGTCTCACATGTCCGCGGACCCGGGGTGCATTTCAGGACAAGTTGCTGGCAGGTCACGGCCCCTGGGACCCGCCACGCTCCCGGCCCAGCCTCTGCTCACGGCTGTTTTCCGGCCTTTGACGTAAAACCACACGCGGTGAGGCGCGCAGACGTTAGGCGGGGCTGTTGCCCTGGGTTGGACGCGTCCCAGCGCCCGCAGAACGCAGACCGTCACTGTCACGGTCACCCGGTGCCTCCCCGTGTCTCCTCCGCACCCCTAGGGACCGCCGTTCTCGTCTCCGTGAATTAGCTCTGCGGGGTGGAACGTCCTTGGCGCTGCTGCGGGCGGGAGCCGGGGGCCGGCCCGCTCCGGGGCAGTGGCGCTCGCGGCGATCACTCTGGCTTTGCCGTGCGTCCACGCCCCTGGCTGCTGCCGTTCGCGGGCGCTGGTGGGTACGGAGGCGAGGAGCTTGCTTGCTGTCCCCTGCGTGCATGCCAGGGCGGCGGGCACGGGCGGGGCCCCGTCACGGAAGAAATGGCCGCGTCTCTCCCGCCCGGCTGCCCGTTCCCGGCCTCCGGCACGGCCGAGCCTTCCCGGTGAGGGCGCCGGCGTCGCTGCGGTGGCTGGGCAGAGGGGCCTGCGCGACGACCAGGGCTGCCCGGCAGTCGGGACTTCGTCGGCTGGTCACATAGTGCCTCGTGCGATGGCGCTGCAGACCCGAGGCCTAGTTTAGACTTGAGGTACCTGACTGTTCCTGACTTCTGAGCCCGTCTGCTGTCGGACACCTGGACTGAAACGTATTCGCGTGTGTGACTTGCCTGTTCGCGCCTTCATGGCACCTTTGGAAAGTCAGGTCATGAAGGAAGAGTTGATGCTTTAACAACATCAGGTCTTGAAATCTCACAAGACATGTCTCTCTTTTTAAAGGCCCTTTCTTATCTCTCTAGTCTTTTTTTTGAAGACTTATTTATTTGT